GCTTCAGTTGCTGTTTCTCATCAAAGCCTGCTCCCAAAAGAGCTTTGAAGAAAGCTGCTAAGCTCAATTGGTCCAGCATTTTAGACTGTTCCAAACAGTTCTATTAAACCTGGAATTTCTCGACATTCAAAGTGTGGATCACAAATGTTAATGCTTGCTTAATTAACCATTTTTCCCAATTTCCTTTGGGTTCCCAAACAGCATTTCTTCATGTCCAAAAAACCAGCTAAAAAAATCCATGAGAATCATGCCCCATTTCCCTTAATGGAGGTTGGGTAGGTTTTTGTTTTTGTTTTTTTGTTTTGTTTTGTTTTTCCGAGGCTATGAATGTTTACTGTCATTGGGAGTTGGTTTTAAGTTATTAATGATCTTATTCAGAGAGAAAATAAGGTTAGACTCAGCTATTTCTCTCTTTTCTCTATATATTTTTTCTTTCTTAGATAAGGAGAAAGGGTGTTGAAAATAAAGGAGAATACAGGGATATATATTATAGGAATAATAAGACAAAAGGCTGACTATTGAATCCACTCAACTTACAGCTTTATTTGTTATTCTCAAATAAGGTTATTTTTAACTCATTGGTATAGGATTTTGTGTATTGATGCAAAAATAAGTTTATTTTTGATAAATTGATGCAAATTTTGGTATACTGATACAAACTTAAGGCTTACTTCCAAAACTTTTGAAACTGCTATTACAAACTGTTTAGGTGGGTTATTTAGGTAGGTTATAGGTTATTGAGCCAGTGTAAGTGAAATATCTGCTGGCCCAAGGTAAATAAGGCAATTATAAAATATAACAGGTGTCTGTGTTTTATTATTTGTGACAGTGGGTTAAATAATACCGCTGTGATAATCTTAGGGTTAATAATAAACATTATGTAGCCCAACATTTCTTTTCTTTTACAACAACAATGGTACTTGCTGTTTGGAAGTTTGTGAAAATCACACTGAATAATAGTGTGATTATTCTCTAGAATTAAACAAGTAATAAAAATAAAATCTGCTTCAAATGGACTTTGAGTACTTGAACATATCACCATAGATTCAGCTTATGTAAAAATTCAGGTTTTTTTAATGACTATCCTTAATAACATTTTATATTACTTGAAAAAAAAAGGCATAGCTTTTTTTTAGTAAAAATACCAGCCCAAAGTTGGACAATCACAGTTTTGTTTTGTTTTGTTTTACTTTGTACTGAAGGGTTAGCATCTTTTTTAAAAAAAGATTTATCATTTATTGTTTATTATTTATACAGCATTCTACCTGCTCACCAGAAGACAGTACCAGATCTCACTGTAGATGGTTATGAGCCACCATGTGATTGCTGGGAATTGAACTCAGGACCTTTGGAAGAACAACCAGTGCTCTTAACCTCTGAGCCATCTCTCCAGCTCCCCAAGTCACAGTTCTTGTCTATTCCACCTACTCAAACAAATCCCTACTAGATTAAACTCAAGAATCAGTGACTAGCTGATGGTGTGTGTCAAACAGTGACACAGGCATTTAGAAGATGCTTTCTGTCCAGCCTGATTTTCACCTTTTATACACATGACACATGCTGACATTTTCTATTTTATTTCATCAAACAAACAAAAAGCGTCAATTTCCTCGGATAGATAAATCTGCTCCCAGAAGACCTGGTTGTAAAATGGAAGTCTAGTGCCAAGAATTGGCTACATTCTTAGAGGTTCTTGGCTAGGGGTGCCTCTGAGTCCTGCAAAGCAGCACAAGAAACTTCCAGTGCTGTTGGTTGCCTATAACAAATAGATAAAATGCCTCTATTGCTAAAGACACAATATACGCTGGGCACAAGACTTAGAGAGGTCATGCCAGGACTGGACTGGGAGTTTCCTTTCTGCTGGTTCAGCTTCCATAGTACTGGAAGACGCCATCTAGGATCATGCATAACCTCAATCAGCTGTGGATCCTCCCTGCAACACTACTGCTGTGATAGCAACAAGTCTGTTATGGAGGCAACCGACAGTTTTCTGTTTGCTCTTGAGGTGCACTCCACAGGAGAGACCCACCCCTGGAATTATAAACCTAGTCCGAATCCATGACTGGGTGGGTAGGTCATAGGCCCAGGTAAGGAATCTACTGATCTTGTTTTGGCAAAGGGTCATAATATATGCACATCATTTTTTTCTAAATAACTATGCTTATGTCCATGATCACTGCTAATGCCACCTCTGGTTAATGAACATTTTTTTAAATGGACAGACAGTGGTTATTGCAGAGACTCATAACTGGTTTAAGCACTGAGAATAAGTGACTGTTGTATACTCAGCCAATAAAACGGACATCATCTCTCCCAAGGCTCAAGGAACCTCACAAGAAAAGGATGTTAATCCCACAGCAAATTCTGAGCCACATTTGAAGCAAGCTTTATTAAATTCTGGTCAGAACAATGGACAATGGTATCAGGTCCCTACCTAAGATTTTCAGAGGATGGCCCCTATTTACATTAGCCAGAGGCTTACAAAGGCAAAACCCCACCTATCTCCATCCATTCAGGGGCAAAGGATATATCCTGACATATTTCCTGTCTATGTACCTTCAACCTACATGTGATCAAACACATCCTGTGCAGCTGGGGCATCAAAGCTTCTTTACAGAAGCAAAACCAAGTGGCTTGTTATTTTAGAAGAAAAACAGCACCAAGCATTCTAGGAAGTTATCTGTACTCAGGCAAGTAGGACTTGGAGGTTAGAGGCATTTCTGTTTCACAGATCTAAGCACAGTACTCTAAACTTAAAACACAACTTTAGCCACCACAAGGAACATATAAGAGATTACAGAATAGGGGAATAGGCGGAACATTCAAAGAAGGATCTAGCCCACTCTTGATTCACAGATGTAACATCTCCGTAACCTCGTCAACATCCTGTCATGGAGGGGAGAGGGCTCCTGAGGCTTCATCCCTCCCTTAAATGCAGTTAATGATTGATGGGGGAGGGAGAGACATTTTCTTCAGCGGTGTAGCAGTTGGTGTGGTGTCCATGCTCCTGTAAATAACCCTTCACCCATGCCCTTGAAACAACCTTAGTGGAAGTCATTGAGTCATAAAAGGAAACGACACGAAAGTAGAAAAGTACTGAGTAGAGAAAATCATTGTACAACTCAACCTCCAAGAAGATTCTTCTTGTAAAAATAATCCAGGGCAGCCAGTGCTACAGAAAAAAATCATGTCTCAACAAACGAAAGACCCTATGGAGTGAAGGCAGAATAAAAAACCAGGGGAAATCACAGTAAGAGGCTCTAGAAAGAGAAAGATCCCTCATACCAAAGTCTAGTAGAAGTCTCCTGTACAGTCAAGAATTCTGACAAAATTAGACTGCCTATGTGGTAACAATTTCTTTGTATATAGATAAAGTTTAAATAAGAAATTAAAATAGCAATAAGCTCTACCTAAATCCTAAGGGTATATGATCTCTTCAAGTAAGGCTTTACTCTCTTATCTGTGAGTTTATCCTGTAGCCCCTATGTACCATGGTTTTACCTTATCAGCTATAACCATATCAAAGTGTCCCAGGAACCACCCTATGATCCTATCTCTGGAAAAAAAAAAAAAAAAAAGAGTGGGGAGGGGTCCCTTAGAAACCTCTTGAACAGTGTAATTCCAGAAGTCACCAAAAATCATATATAGGAACACACACACACACACACAGACTCCACAAACACCACTCTGACAGTTTATTGTGGACTGTTCTCTCCTTAAGTGCTTTTTCTCTTAGCTCTATCTTTAAAACTATGCTAAAATTTCTTCTTAAAATTCTAACTCTGCTTCATACCGAATTCTTCTAAAACCCTCTGTGGTGTAGTCAAAAATTCCAGCTTCGCCTGAATAGAAAACTGCCAAGAATTCGTAGGGCTACTTCAGGCAACACTGCTTCTAGATCTATGGCTCTGGCTATGTTCTGCTGCTGCCGCTGACAGAGCAAGGTGTAGTGGTCAGAAATTCCATCACTAGAGAAGCCGAAGCAGAAGGATGGTAAATTTAAGGTCAGATGGAAGGATCAGGAGTTAAAGTTTATCCATGCCTGTATAAAGAGATCGAGGTCAGCCAGAACCACCTAAGAGCTTGTCTCAAACGAGAACAAAAATTAGCTGGGGGGGGGGGGGGGGGCACGGGACACAAGCTGTAGAAATGGCTATACACCAATGCAGTTGTTAAGAGTTAAGAGCACTCTCGTGTCTTGCAGAAGACTAAGATCAGTTCCCGCGTGGGCGCCTCATAACTGCCTGTAACTCCAGCTCCAGGGGTTCCAATACCCACCCTCTCCTGATCTCTGCTTGGACACCCCCTGTCCATACCCCCGGGGGGGGGGGGGGAAGGAAAACTTCAAATGCTTGGTAAGACTTTCGTACAGACCCAGCTCAAGTAGTCAATATAAGCTTATAGTTTATTTTTAAAGCAAGAAGAGTAGGTTCGGTAGGGGAGGCTTCCACACTTTTAGCATCTGGGGTTAAACACTGCCACTAATGCCTACTGTGTTTCCACAAGAGTGGAGAGGATCTACTGAGCAAATGGATGTGGTTTACCATGAAAGCCAGGTGTGGTGGCTCACGCTTGCAAATCTAGCACTCGAGAGGCTCAGGAGCTCCAAATACCTAAGTCCCAGACCCCTCTGCAGCCGCAGTTTGAGACCCCTGTCCTGTCTCTAGCTCAACAAAACCACCCCAATCGCTCTTAAAAGCAATGTTTCTACGATAGTGCTTTGTGAGGAGGAGAAAAATGCTGCTTAAACGGCAGCCGATGTCTCAGGAGTCCTTACTGCCCTGTTCTTCTACACATTAACAACCGGGAACCCCAACCAGCGCGTTGTGATGCAGGCAGAAAAACCAGAGAACTCGGAAGTCAGGCGCTTGCTGCGTCTGCGCATGCTCAGGAGCGGCTCCGGCTTAGCCCGGTTGGGCCGAACTCCGAGGGCGGAGTGCGGGCCACGTGGGGCTGCGTGACGTCATCTCCGGGCGCCGAGGGTGACTGGACTCGCGGCGCGCTCCCGGCGCTGAGGGCTGGGCTCGCTTTGGTTCGGAGGGCGGAAGTGCCCGCGGGGCTGTGCTCTGACCCCGGCGGCGGCGCCCTGTGCGGCTGCGCGCGCTCGGAGACTTCTGCTCCTGCGCCTCTGCAGGACAGTGAGAGCCCCGCAGGCAGGCAGGACCCGATTGAGCGTCTTCCCCGCTGCTGCGGCGAGCCGGAGCAGAGCCGGCACCTCGGGTAGGGATCCCGTGCGTCCGGGGCGCGGGAGTGTGTGGCGGAGGGTAGCCGGGCGAGCAGCGGGCGCAGGGAGCGCGCCCGGCGGCGATGGCGGGGGAGGCGGTGCCGCTGGGCGGAGGTGGGGTTGGCGAGACACTGCCCCCGGAGCCCTTGGGCCAGCCTGGCTGTCCCTTTGGGAAGTATGTCAGTTCCTTACTAAGGGCAGGAAATGTGGCATAGAGTCCGAAGCTCAAGTTAGGGGCTTGCACTTTCCGTGAGAGGTATTTAAATCGTAATTATTTCGGTGCATGTCGATTCTATCCAAACTCCGTGTTTACTCCACGCTATCTTCAGTGCCATTCTTTGAGTCTCAGTAATAATGCTCAATACTAACAAAGGCATTTTCTGTCAGTAAAACACTTTCATTTATTTAGTTACTTTCTTCGGATTGCTCTCAAAGAATACTCAAACTTGAGGAACCTAAGAAAGCCGTGTGGCTTGTACATTTTTCCCCCCTCTGAGGAAGCATAACGTGTCTTCACTAATCAGAACCCCGGGATTTATCAGGCAGCAGCTGTCCAAAGCCTTCTAGATAAGACCCTTGGGTTTTTGATACTGAATGCTTGGGTCTGATGGAAATATTCTGATTTCATTAGACTTTGAATTGAATTTGAGAACAAGGATATTGTCTTTACGGTAGTAGTTGTGAGAGGTGAGACTTGTTAACACTAAGTTTAAATGTACTTTGAGCCCAATTTTGTGGCCCACACCTTTAATTCCAGCACTGGGGAGGTGGAGGCAGGAGAATCCGGAGGTTAAGGCCAGCCTTGGCTACTTAGTTTGTTGCCATCCTGAAGGGCATGAGACTCTTTAAAACACACAGACGCCATCCCTACAGATCCCAAAACAACTTAGCATGCAACAAGGCCCTGGATTGGATCCTGAGCAGCACAAAACCAAACCCGAAAACAAAATGAAACTCAGCTGTGGTGGCTCAAGTTTATAATCCTTGTGTTTGAGAACCTGAGGTAGGAAAGTTACCTTGGAAGCTAGCCTTGACTACAGAGGAAGACCCTTTCTCAAAGAAGAACACACACACACACACACACACACACACACACACACACACACGGAATGCTTGCCTTTAATCCCAGGACTTGGGATCCTAGCCTGATCTACATAGTGAGTTCTAGACCAGCCAGGGTGACACAATGAGCTCTTGTGGGGAGGAGAGAGTATGCCAGGTGATGGAAAGTTCTAGAAAAAGGATAAATGAAATGGAATGGATAGGGTTGCTGGTGTACACGGGAGGTCATAATGCTGGCCACAGAAAAGGTAGACTTGAGTGAAGGTTAAGGCGAGGAAGGTGCCAAATGGAAAGGTCATACTAGCCAGTTCCATTGGCAAAGAATGATTAGGGTGAAGAAGAGTACACAAATAGAGATGAGGCAAGGTCCTCGTGGGCTTTGTAAAAACTTGCATTTTTCTTTTTAATCTTAATGTGTATGTGTGTTTTGCCTGCATATATGTATGCCCATTATTTTTATGCCTTGTGCCCACGAAGGAACTCCCTAGAACTGGAGTTATGAAGGATGTGAGTCACCATGTGGGACTGGGAGCCAAACCCATGTCCTCTGTAAGAGCAGCCGATGCTCGTGACCACGGAGCCATCTCGCCAAACCCTACTTTTTATTTTTTACTTTTTTATTTTATTTTTCTTTATTTTTTGAGACAGGATCTCACTCTGACCCTGACAGGACCAGAACATTTTTGTACATCAGGCTGGACTTGAACTCACAGAGATCCACCTGCCTCTGCCTTCTGAGGGCTAGGATTAAAGGATTCTTCTCTTCCCTCCTCCCTTATTTTCCCCCCTTCTTTCTCTCTTTCCCCTTTTCTCCTTTTTCCTTCCTCCCCCCCCCCCCCCTTATTTTTCTTTGTAGAGGGTTTCTCTGTATATCCCTAGTTGTTCTGGAACTTACTCTGTAGACCATGCTGGCCCTCGAGCTCAGAGATCCACTCTCAGAGCTGGGATTAAAGGCATACACCACCACCACTGGCTCTCATTTTTACTTTTGTTTGTTTGTTTGTTGTTAAATAGGTTTTCTGAGACAGGGTTTCTCTGTGTAAAGAGGCCTGGCTGCCTTGGAACATGCTGTGTAGACCGGGCTGGCCTGAACTCACGTAGATTGTCTCAAGCAAGAAGTCGATACACATAGTGTAGCAAAAGTTATATTTTATTATGTTGAGGATCATCATACAATATTCACACTCTAAATTCCTAAGCATCTTCCTAAGCCTATTTCTCCAAGGCTGCTCACCTGTTCCCCTTATCTTCGCTAAAGGTCAGGTGTTTAACAGAAGTCTGTGCTTCAAGCTCAGGTCAGGCTCCTGGGGGAGACTCTCCAGCCACAGGGCAGGTCAAGGTGATAGCTCTCCAGATGTGTAGAGCAGAACATTGCTCTTGGTTTCTGCTTATATACTGTCCAGTGGGCATCATGGTGAGTGATGTCGCTGGGTTCTGATTATCAAATGTAGCCGTGGTTATAGTGGGGTTCCTGACTAAGTTGATTTTACATGTCTAAAAGGTGTTTGTTTTGTTTTGTTTTTTAACTATGCTCATTACAAAGATCAACCTGCCTCTTTTCTCCTGGGTGCTGGGATTAAAGGGGTACGCCATCACTACCTGACTTCTAATTTTTACTTTTAATGAGATGAATTTGAACCAGGAGCAAATTGATCTAAGTTGAATCTTGAAGTGATCTGATGGTCACGTTGGCTGGAGAAATAAAGGTCAGAGTGGCTTAGGTCTGTTCTGCTTGAGAATGATTGTAGTTTGGCTTCTAGATTGGAGTAGTTGAGTATGAAAACATGGTTAGGAATGATCGCACGGTGTGGGGGCAGAGGACGGTTGAGTGGAGTTTATGCTTACTGTAGTGGAGGAGAACGCAGTATCAGGAGAGAAGCAGCATCTGAAGTCATTTTCATTTGTGCATGTGTTAAACTTCCCAGCGTGCCAGTATGTGGTAAATACTTGTGAAACAAGTTCAGAAGTCTAAGCTGAAGATATAAATGTAAGTTTTAAGAAATGTATTTGGTATTTAAAGTCAGTTGAAAGATGCCCGGGGTATGTTTCCTTTGGAGGGAGGGAGACACAAAGAGATAAAGAGGGAGCATAAAATTCTCTCCCTCTCCCCACCCCAGGGCGGAGCCATTTAGTAAATTCCTGCTGAAAATGACTGAACCCAGGGGTTAAGAGGAGATAGAAATAGGGTCTTGAGCCAGGTGTGGTGTGGTGCAGCAACGCCTTTAATCCCAGAACTCAGGAGGCAGAGGCAGACACATTTCGGAGTTTGAGCCCAGCATAGTCTGCAAATTGAGTTCCTGGACAGCCAGAGCTAGACACATAGAAACCCTGTCTCGAAAAAACAAACAAAAAAATAGGGTCATGAGACAGCAAGGGGAAAAGGAAGGAAATGGTGAAACTTTATGGAGACCATCTGGGTTGTTGATACAGGAAAGTGGGGGAGATAGATGGGCTGGAGGAATGTAGGGATACTAGACATTCCCTAAGACCCATGTTTGAAGCTGTTTGTAAATTTAAGGAGAGACTAGCCACTGTCCATTACTGTCATTCTTCCTTGGGTAGGTATATGTCTGTCTCCTTCCAGCCCACTCTAAACATTCTAGGTCCAGTACTCATGTTCTTATTCATCAGTTGCTAAATTGCCTCCCATTTCACCTCTTTACCTCCAGGCTTGGCCTCCATGCACAGCTTTGAGATTCTTGTCTCATTTCACCTTTCTCAAACCTCACAGGTTCTCTGTGGCCACTGGATGGAATTGATACCGTAACTGCTTTTCATGTGACATGCTTCATGAGCTTCCACAGGTTTGACAGTAAAGGAATTGCTAGCATTTGCCGCATGTCTCTTAGTGTATCAAATACCTTGCAGGTTTTCCCTCTGGAACAACCTTGTGACTTAATGTTAATTTCATCCCATAGGAAAAGGAAATTGGGGCTTAGTGGAGTGCCTCATCTGGGCTCACATGTAATACTGAAGCCTTTATAGCATTAACTCTCATGTAATATTCCCAGGCAAAAGTTTGCTAAAAAGTTGGCACATGTTGTTTCTGCATACTTAGCTTTATTGATGGGCTTTCCTCTGTTTGGATACATAGAGTTCTTAATGTGATGCATCAGAGGTGTTTCCAAGCTTTTTGATAAACAGGAGCAAGGCACAGTTAGCTGCTACTTTTCGTCTTTTTGAAATAGGGTCTTGCCATGTAGTCTGGGCTGGTCCCTTACTCTTGTTTGTAGGGTATCTTTAGCCTTATCCTACTGCATGTTACAACACCATGGCCAAGAGCAACTTGGGGAGGAAAGGATTTATTTCAGCTTTGTGTTCTGAAATCACAGTCCATCTTGAAGGGAAGTCAGGGCAGGAACATGGAGTCAGGAGCTGAAGCAGAGGCCTTGGAGGAATGGTGCATACCTGCTTGCTCCATTGTTTGCTCAGCCCGCTTTCTTATCCCAGGCAGACACATTGGCCCAGGTGTGGCATTGCCAGTCCTCAGTGGAATGGGTCCTTCCACATCAATCATTAATCAAGAAAATGTCTTATAGACTTTCCTGTAGGGCAGTCTTATGGAGACATTTTTCTAAAGATTTCTTCTTCCTAGATATGTCTGGCTTTGTGTCTAGTTGGAAAAAACAAAACAAAACAAAACAAAAAAACACAGCTCAATAGTTTTGGCTGACCTAACACTAGCGATGTTTCTGTCTCAGACTCCAATGAACTGTTTGTCACAGTAATGGCAAATAACGTGATTTTCCCTCCCCTCTCCCCCTTTTTCTTCAGGGCTAGGAATTGAACCCAGGGTCTCATACATGCTAGATAGGCACTCTACTGCTAAGCCGTGCCCCACACTTGGAGTGTGGAATGCTGACCTTCAAGCCTGGTAGCCAGATGTGTTCAGATGTTCACTCTTGTGCCTGGCAGCTGCAGTAAGTTGTAGGCT